GATTTGTCAACCCTTCCGTTCCGGCAGCGGCACCATGTGCTTTGGGCATGGGCATGGGCTCTGAATCACTGGCGGAGTTGCAGCTCCACGATCGTACATTCCTCCATCTAGCCATTCTTACCGCTCTAATTTTCGCCATGAATTAAATTTTTACCCTCAACTCCGCACTTGTTCTTTCTCGATTGACTTGGCGTACATGCCGGCTGGAGTTAGTTAAAATCAAATATTTATTCAATGCATTCAGTGAATATTCTCTCTGAAATTTCTTCTTTTTTTAAGGTCAAAGCTTCGAGCTGCATATAGGATGAATGGCATTTCTAATTAACTTGCATAAACAGTAAAAGTGCAGTCGATGCCAAAAATCTGGGGCAAGTGATCAGGTAATGAGCGTGTAATGGATACAATAGTTAGCCGAATGAATAATAAAAAATGAAACTGATTATCCATTGGTCACCCTGCAATGAATTAAACTGCCATGTTCCCCCACTCATTAGAACCAACTCGCACTAAACCCATTACAGGATCCCCATGATGAATAAATTTGTTTTCACAGCACTCATTACATCCTGTTAACTTTCTACGGCAGCCCTCGTCACGAAAGCGCATGTACAACCAACGTTGGCAGGCCTCTCATGGGCTGATCATCTCAACACAACGGCTTCATATGATGGAAAGATGAATAAGATGAATAACCTTTCAAATCTTTTTCAGAGAAAGCCGTTCTTTTTCGTATCTAAAATTCACGACTTCATCGGTTCGCCACTTCGAGATTGATCGCGGGAACTATGAATATACATTTCACTTGTTTACCTTTCTTCTTCCGAACTCATTCAGTATCTATCCATTATACATGTTCACGTCAATGCTTTGACGAAAGGACGAATATGCAATTTTAAGACGCTTCGGATGGATCAGAATTCGCCCTTTTTTGGACAGCAGAGACTTGAATCAGGTAGCTGAGAGTTTCAGCTCTATTTGAAAGACAACCATTCTTCGATTACCATTCTTCAGTCTGAAAAAATTTTCGAATTCTAGCTCTTCCAGAAAATTCCAGAACTGTATTTTCACCTTCTTGTCAGATGGACGAAGATCATCGGCAAAGAAGGCGACATCAAGGCGTTGAAGAATGTGGATCAGATTCACGTAATCGATGAACGAATATCCACTGAAGATAACTCCTGAGCACACATCCGGAAGGAGTTCATTTATGAAATGTGGCAAAAAATACTCCTGAGGATGCTTAGAAAACCGAGGAAAATTGGATTATCATAAAATGAGACGATCCAGAGAAGACTTGCCAATCGCCGGAGAAATGGGGGAAAAAGAAGCTTCACCGATAACGTCTATTTTCTTTTTTCTTCTCTCGAGTCACTTCGCTCTTGTGCCACAGTTGAGTGTTTAACTGTGCAGCCATGCTGAGACGACGTATCGGAAGGCAGTTTCGCCAACTTGCTCGATCGTTTCGGTCGAGGCAGGTTAACTAGGATGCTGGAAGTTGTTCTAAGATCTCTACTGTATGATCAGATACTGGATCGCTTGATGCAGGAGCAGGTGTCACATGTTGCTGTTCAATCGCCAAAATGAATAAGTCAGGCATTCACTACGCTCGAACCGAAAAAGCACGTATTGGAACGCCCCCTCCCCCTCTCCACAATAAAACCCACACCATGCAGACACAAGAACGCGGTAGTTGAAAATATTTTTGCCAGTAAATGGGTAAGTGGCTAGGGAAACGCCTCGATTTCCCATATTTTCATCTTTGGTGAAATATTATTTCAATCTATTGAAGGGAAGGAAGCACATTCATCTACAAAAGAAAGCTCCTATAGTGTGTTACGCAATGATAGTTGTCCTCTGCTGGCAAAGCAAAACGAGACACAAAGTTGAAATCGACTCAACTTTTTTTCCTGCTTTCCAATACGTTGAACACCGAGGTTCAACATATTCTACGACCACCTGCAGCGTCGTGACGAGCGTCAATGGCGCTAGCAGATGTCTCATAGGTCATTTTGAAGTTGTTGCAGCTTATCATTCAGGTGATAACCTGCCTTTTGAGAATTTGTTTTCACCAGGTTCCTTCAATATCTTCTCTTCAAGCATATTCTTCAGAAAAAAAATCAATGCCGCTTTGCCTTGGGAGATTATGGGTGCACCAGAGTAACTCGAGAGGATTCCAGTTCTGAATTAGGATCCTTCAGGATTCAAGATGACATCACAGAAGTAAGAACTCATGGCTGGATTAAGAAGTTGCGAGGCCCGGGGCAAGTGGATTCTTGACCCTCCCCCCTCCCCAAGACCTGGTGGTGCAAGAAGCCTAGAGGAGCCACACAGTCGAGCGCTGGTGATGCAAATTTTGATTTTTAACATCTGCTACTTTACGTAAATGCTAAAAGTTGTTAACTTCCTTCGGATCCCCCCTGGAAAAGTGGGACTCGGGCAACAGCTCCCGTTGCCCCCCCCCCTTAATCCAACCCTGATGACACCTGATCAGCATCCACTTTCAGCACCCAGTCTCAATGGACAATAAAGTCAAATACTTTGGCTTTTTTCTGTTATCCGTTGGGGCTGGGTACTGCAACTCCTCGCCACTGTTCTCCCTCCCCCAATACGAATCTATCAAAAATGACCAACGATATTTTGGCTTCGACGCTTGGAGTATTCCTTGGTTCGGCTTTGGCTTTCTTGACTGAGTTTCTACACGGCATCTCCTTTAAACTCGGTTTGCGGTTCTATTGAGTTTGGATTCCAGTTTCTAATGACCAAAGACTCACTGTCACGACTCACTCACACCCCTGCTGTGCTACCCAAGTTCTGCTTAAGAATTGGATATCTACATCTCGAGCAGTTCGATTCGTTATGGCAATTTTCAGGTCATTGAAAATTGGATTTTTAACATTTAGATCTGAAACTAACCGAGCAACATCGTATCAAGATATCCTTTACTTTGATACACAGCATCAATTTATACCTGGGCAGTATAAGCTGTTGAAACGGCGAGAATCATTGTGAGGCACTGCAGTTGATCTGCTGATTCGAATGCAGAGGGGAAGACGTGTGCACCATGGTCTCCTAGATCAGTGGTTCTCAACCGGTGGGACGCGGAGGTACCGCTGGTGGGCCGAGACAAGTATCCGTGAATTTTAAAATAACAATTAACAGTTAGATGGAAAAAATGATATTGCTTTGAAATCTGTAGTGGGCCTCGGATCTCTTCGTAGTTGCTAAGGTGGGCCGTGGGATCGAAAAGGTTGAGAACCACAGTCCTAGATCATGTTTGACTATGTCATAAGTTTGTTCAGCAATGGCGCCTAAGAATGGGAAATGTTCTCTTCTGTATTACGAATGATCATTCAAAATTGCCAAAGGAGAATGTCAGCATAAAGACAAAGAATTTCTCTGCATCAGTAAGAAAGTCGTTTCAAACGTTTGTTAGGAGCAGAGGCTACACTGGCTTATGCATAAAAGCATAGAACGACTTATGAGTTCGATTGAGAATTCATAGTGAGGTATCTTCCCAGTGAATCCTCCTCTGAAGTTGATCATGCTAAAAGCACAATTTGTCTGAAGTCATTGTAAAAGTCAAGATGGGCAGGGCCCATGAAGGCTACAGAGGTAAAGTGAATTCTAATGCAGCCACCCAATGTGCGGAGGATGATTTCGAACACCAGGGACATCCATCGAGTGAATGTACTCTAAAATATTTTTCCGTTGAGTTTTCTACCTGATCATGGTGTGAGGCCCAAAGTTCTGGAACTAAAGGATGCTGCTTCCAGAATTTCACCGGCAAAAAAACATCTACAGGGTGGCCCAAAAAGGGCACTATTTTCAATATGCATTTTAGGTGTGATGCTTTCAAGGATATTTTTCCGGTTACATGTAATGGAAAGGAGAAAGACTTAGCTACAAAATGCTTTTTTTCAGACTTGAAATTCGTTAAAGGGTGACTCAAAAAAAAAATATTGAGATTGAGGTTACGAAAAATCGGCGTTGCGCTCATCAACTCGACCCAACATCCACGCGACGTCCTGACATTCACGAAAAGGGGAAGGGAAACGCTGACCTCAGCAGACGTCGCGAGGATGATTGGATGTGCCTTCCTTCGTATGCGGTCGGTGAGCGCAACGCCGATTTTTCGCAACAGAAATTCAATAATTTTTTCCTTATTCATCCTTTAAGATATTTAAAGTCTGAAAAAAAGCATTTTGTAGCTGAGTCTTTCTTCTTTCCATTACATGTAACCAGAAAAAATATCCTTAAGAGCATCACACCTAAAATGCACGTTGAAAAGAGTGCCTTTTTTTCACATTTTCACGCTTCTTTCACATTAAACTTTCACAACAGACCGCAGACGAAGCATGAGAGAATGGCGTCTATGCAAGGAGTTGAAGAACAGTCAACACAACCCACAAGAAGTGCAACTTCTTGTGGGTCGTGTAGCACAGTGTAGAACATAAGGGTGTTATGGTGCAGCGCACCATAACACCCTTATGCTGTGCTACACTGATTTCGGATTGAATTGGTAACCCTCCTTCGGTAGTGCGAAACGGAGAGATTCACCGTCAGTGAATCTGCTTCATCAGGTGATCCACGAAACCACACAAACATGTCTCTACCTGGAATCGATGGAAACTCTCGGGTCCTTTCCGCTAAAATAAATGCACATGCTGGGCTTCCGCCTCCATTCCAAGAAGGTGGAGGCATTTGCACTTCGCAGGGATGCTTAGGCTTCTTCAGAGATATCTACAGTCACTCAATGAGGGGGTTATCAATTCAATCTACAGTGTTTTTCACTTGACTTCGACCGACACCCATGCATGAGGAACGTCCCATGCACGTGTGTCTAAGTCAAGTGAAAAATTGTCTAACTCAAGTGAAAAACACTGTAAAAGCAGTGTATGGGCTGGTACGAACTTACCACCATAAATCGCGAGTGAACTATATCCGGAGGAAGGAACTAGTAATTGTAATCATCTTTATCATTTAACATCCTTGTCCGCTGACATGGCTGCTGCCATTATATTGCTTCGCCATGTGCTCCCGCGAACCAAATGCATTGCCACGGCATATTTTCAACCTCAATACCTTCGAAGTTATTCTCCTGTTCGTAGAAACTTCATGCAGACAAGTCCAGCACCTAAGAAAGCCCGGTAAAGTGTTATTTAACTAACAACATTGGGCTAGCAGGATCTAGACCATAAATCTAACGTTCTGGCTGTCTATTAATCCTATTCTAGGCCTAAACCCATGCCTGAATCATTGTAGTGCCTTCTTGTGCACTGGGCGTCGGCCCGGTCTGCGACGTTTTGACACATTGGAAATATTACGTCTAACGTTAGGCCTCATCTAACTTTGTACCCGGATATCGCTGTCAACCGCTAAGTATTTCCCACGTTCGTTGCGTCTACTGCGCCTTACGTATGCTTGCAGCAGCGAACAGGCTGTTAATGTTGGGTGTTGAAAGTCTTGTACTTTCCCTAGACTGCAGAGTTTTGTCTGCTGGCCAGGAATATATGGTGGAATTGGTCAAACCAGACCCAGTTTCATACACGACCTCGTTTGTGCTCATCCTGATTCCAGAAACCCACCCAACTCTGCTGCTTCATTGCCTGGTTTAGTTTCTTCTTTCCTTGTGGAGTCTTCCTTCTGAACATTTCAGTGCAACAAGTAGCAGGAAGAATTCTTAGCCTAATGAAATTTCTCCTTACCCACTTACCAGTAGCAAACATGTTTTGCAGTCTGGCAAGTGAAGGGCCAACCATGAAGTACCACCTCCTCCATGTCCAGCAAGCTTCCTTATACAGGGTGTTTCATGGGAGGCTCAGGGATTTACACATGAAATAAGACAGTAAAAAAATGCTTGCCACAATTTATTCATATGGTGTCATAAATAGTAATAACAGGAGATTTTGTTTCCAGTAGTCACCTCTAGATGGCTTGCTGTAAGGGTTTGAACCTGCTGCATATTGCTTGATGTATTTATTGACCCATGGAACACTGGACAGTGCATGGATGTGTTAAGGCAGTGGAGCTTTTCATTCAGATGAAGTCAATAGTGTTGACACCAAGGGCATTCTGTCATGGGTTGAATTGCAGTGATGCTCCATCTGATAAAACAATAACATTGTGGGTAAACCAATGGAGGGAAACAGGCTCAGTACGTGACCTATTGCCCCTTGGGCCATGCAAAACTGCTTTGCTGGATGTTATTTACTGTTCAAGACCAAAATAAACAAATCTCCTGTTATTGCTCTTCATGACACCTAATAAATAAGTAGTGGCAAGCATTTTTTAACTGTTTTATTTCATGTGTAAATCCCAGTTTCCCATGAAACACCCTGTATTATCCTCACCCACCAGTTTCCATCCCTCTGCATCACCCATCAGAATATGCTAGATGTGTCTTTGTGTAAATGCATCCATGTTGAAGCTGCATTTTCAGTTGTTAGGATGACAGGGCAAGGTAAAATTTTGCCTGGTTGATAAAAATTGGAAACATTTTTTCAGGGCTGATAAAGTCAAGAACAAGTTGACTTCGAGAAAAATTATGATAGATGCTGCTTATGAATAATAGACTGGTTGAAAATAAATTCAGACTTATTTATTTTGATTCTCTTGTTCCTCTTCATTCTCAAGACAATAGTTTAAGGTTTAATAAATAAGTGATGGATTATTCACATTGATTTGCTGGCATAAATTTTGCATCTGAGAATTATAGGCCTACCTATCTTGTCCTTTTTAGTTCATGCCAAAAAAAAAAGAAGTACAAGGATTCAGCTGTCAGAAATTGCTTCCAGGTTTCTCATACCATATCCAGATATATGCCAGGTGACAGTCAAATTTGAATTGGACCAGGAAATGAAACATTTTTCTGTCTCATTAACCCAGGAGATATGCACCACACCATTATCCAGGTCTTAGCCTGTGCCTCCTGGGTGAAATTTTTATTCAGATGTAGAATATTGTTAAAATGTTTTATTTTTAATGCAATATATTTAAAATATTTTTCATATAAAAAACTGCATTAATCTCTTGAATCAAAAATACAAAGCAGATACATCTTATGATGTACACATTTTTAAGTAGACAAATAATCAAATACATGAGGGGCGATCCAGAAGTTTATGTCCTAAGGTAGTAGAAATGATTGGAAAAGGCTGAAAGTTAGTTCCCATATTCTTCCATCCTTTTTGGTAATTTCAAGGGTAAGCAATTTATTTTAGGTGCATTTACAATTTATTAATAATTTTTATGTAAGAAATGCGCAGGCCAAAAATATTTAATTTAAAAATGGCAAAATTGGAGTACATAATTTTGTAATTTTATAATTAGCTGAAACATTCATATGGTATACATTTATTCATCCTAACAAAACAGCTCATTCAATGCCATAAATTTAAAGAAAGACTACCAGTGAAACTGCCCAAGCATTTTAAGCTGACTATGAAACAGGATGTTTCCCCCATAAAATTGAAACCCTGTTCCATCAATGGGACAAGTATTGATGTCCTGGAAGGTAATGTTGAAATATATATAGGGTGGTTAAAAAAAACGCTCTACTGTTTTCTATGGGAGAAACACTGTTTCATAAATGTAGCAAAATCTAAATAAATTGGATACACTATCAATATTTGGCAGTTACAAGGTGCTGAAATGCTTGCCAGCTTTTTTATATCACCCCTACCTAAGTCATGCAATGCCCATTTAGAGATGAATTAAAGGTGTTTAGAGGTGGAATAGGTGGATCATTCCACCTCAAGTGAGGTGATTATCTGTGCTTGACCATCTCAGAATTCAATGAACTTTTCAACTTTAAATTTTCAAGGAGCAGTTCAATCCAGCTGATACTTGACAGAGAGGTTCATGAGTCTAAGAGGGTTTTTCACTTCTGCAAGATGGCACTGTATCCCAATAGAGGGCACTGTTGTTGACCCAGTGACCGAGAGTGATGTAAAAAAAGGTGTAATGCTCCACCTGTAAACTGTGTAACGGGACAATACATGCTTAGAGAATTGTTCAGGATAAAGGCAAGACAATCTTTTCAACAACTCCTATATGTCCAATATCAAGAGTTTATGAATCTTATATTTTTTTACTCGAATACATGAATTGTACTTTCTCCCATTTGAAAATGGTGGAGCTTTTTTTTTTATCACCCTCAGTCACTCGGTCAACAACAGCACCCTCTATCAGGATACAGCACCATCTTGCAGAAGTGAAAAAACCTCTTAGACTTGTGAACCTCTCTGTCAAGTATCAGCTGGATCAAACTGTTCCTTGAAAAGTTAGAGTTGAGAAGTTTATTGAATTCTGAGATGGTCAAGCACAGGTGCACCTTACTTGAGGTGGAATGATCCACCTCTAAGCACCTTTAATTCACCTCTAAACGGGCATTGCACGACTTAGGCAGGGGTGCTGAAAAAAAGCTGGCAAGCATTTCAGCATATTTTAGCTGTCAAATATTGATAAAGTATCGAATGTAATTTTTTTGTTGGATTTATGAGACTGTGTTTCGCCCATAGAAAACAGTAGAACTTTTTTTTTTAACCACCCTATATTTTGTTTCATCAACCCATCACATTCCCTTATATCTCAGGACATAAACTTTTAGATCACCCCTCTTATTTAAATATGTACTCCTGATGCATGTATTTTGAATATTCCCTGGCTCTGCCATTTTTCTGTACTCTGAGCAGAACAATGCATTTGCATTGCATTCATGGTGATAGTGCTCTTGCTGTGTTGCATGAAATCCTGGAGATATCAATACTGTCAGTCTAATGTGTGGTTCAATTTCCCCAGGGTGACTGTGACATTCATCAGGCATGATGGTAAACGGCTTCAGATTCAAGGGAAGGAAGGAGACAGCCTGCTGGATGTTGTGGTCAATAATGACCTGGACCTGGAAGGATTTGGTGCTTGTGAAGGGACTTTGGCTTGTTCCACATGTCACTTGATTTTCAAGAAAGAAGATTATGACCGACTCCCAGACAGACCAAGTGATGAGGAATTGGACATGCTTGACCTTGCCTATGGCCTCTCTGACACGTGAGACATGGTTCCTCAGTTAGTTGAGCATACAAGTGAATGTAGACCCAGCTGGTACTTATCTTCCATCTATAATGGTTTTGTCTTTATTCTGGTTCTCCATATGACATTCTCATCCTTCAAATGATCTGTTATGGCTCATGGTCATGAGTAATGTCTTATGTATGCTACCATTCTATGAAATTTTGGAATTGAAATTATTCTTATCCAACCACACAGACACACCACATAGTAATGGCAATTTTCACATCTATAGGTTTTGAGATAAGAGTGTCATCCGTGCCAGTTAAAATGTTATTTTCATTCTCTTTTTCTTTAAGGTCAAGGCTTGGTTGTCAAGTGGTGCTGACAAAGGATATGGAAGGCCTGGAAGTCCAGGTCCCCTCAGGAACATCAGATGCTCGAGGCTCATGATTCCTATCAATACTCAAAATCCTCATTCTAGATTCTTAGTTGATGGCATTTTAAAAATCCGGTCAAAATACATATCTTCATTCCTGGGCTTTATTTTAACATGTTCATCTTTAGCCTTTTATGCAAAGCTGATTAAAATATTTGGGCTTATCTTAATTTTGAGTTTCCTTTCATTTTCAGTCCTATTATCTATAATTTTGTAAAGTGTATAAGCTGCACCAGTCTGAGTGTGAAAGTTGTCTTGGCAACTCTGATATGGCAAATGCAGTTACTAGTCTTGAATCCCTAAATTGTAAATGAGCTATTTGCAGTAGAGAGTTTGATGATTAAACCCAGTTATTGTTCAAGTTATCTCACCACCTATGTGGTGGAAACCAAAAAATGCTTTATTTCCCATGGGATAATTTTGACATGATGCTGCTGCTGCTGGGAATATGAGGAAGTGCAAGAAGGAAAAACCTGACTTTTAGTGGGCCAGGTATTTTCCATTTCAAGTACCATAGCATGGATTGAGTTGCCTCCACATTATAACTTTGATGTAGAGTTTCTGGATCAATATTAACTTTCTTTATTTTATTTTTCACCATGATTTTCACCCTATCTGTTCAAAAAGATGGATAACATTACACATTTTGGAGCAAATTTTTCCATTTCATAATTTGAAAAAAAGAGTGGTAATCCAAAGTGGTAAAGCTTTATCACTATATATTTTTACAGAGAGCTTCAGGGCATGCTTCTCAAATATTTCTTCAACTTCTGGAGGCAGCCTAGTTTTGGTTGGTCTTAAGTTTTTTTTAGTGTGTAGGGTTTTAGTAGAGCTGTACCACATTTGGCCAATTATGATCTCGTACCCATCAGCTGATGCCAGTGTTTATTGCGACATGTAGAGAAACAGCAGAGCACCCTTTAACCAAATTATTTTAAATTCAAATTGACTTATCAGGAAGCTATGTTCATTTTATTATGGCTGTCATGCTGGGTGTTTCAAAAACATCCATGTATCAATCTGAAATATTGATAGTGCATCCAGGGGTTGGGGAGAGAGGGTGCTGGTGGATTCAGTCTTTTCTCACCATAATCAGGTAGAGGTGTAACTTTTGTTGTTTCTTGCCCTGATCAGGGCATGGACCTCTATCCATCAGCCATAATCTCTTCCCTGTGATTGGGGAGAGTGGGGGGAGGTTTGACCTTTATGACAGGTAATAAAGCCTACCATGCCTCCATCAAAAATGACATCCATACATCAATGGATGCATTGGGACAGAGTCCTAATTTTTGAGAAACAGTTACCAAGCTCCATTCACCTATATATTTTTAAATTTTCTTTGTTTTGCATGTTCTTTGGTCATCAGCACTGGCAGCTGGCAAACCTGCTGATGGCCAATGGCACTGACATTGCCATACTGGCAGCTGATACGTTAGTACAGCCCTAGTTTTTAGTCTTCCTTGCAAAGTTGATCTTGGTATCTTGCAATGTTCTGCATATTTTTGAGATATCTCACCATTTTTCAGCTACCTCAGAGACAGCTCTATTATGCTTTATTAATAATGCTCTGAAATGCTCATCTTATTAATCTTTCATGGACTTTTTTGAATTTGTTCAGATCTTTTTTTCTACTCCCATCTAAGTAGGACCAGATGCTTGCATTCAACAGATGACCATGTGTAGCTACAGTCACAGAGATGGCATGTTCTTGTTAATCTCCAAAGTAGTAATTTTTGCTGAGAGCTTTTCCCACAAAACAATTGAAAGACTGAAGATCCTAGTGACTCCAGAAATGAAGTGGTATGTACATATGGACCATTTTCACGATATATAAATTCTGCAGACTATCCTCTCCAATGAATTGAAAAAGGGGTAAATGTACATTAGACCAATATCCTGTTCCCTACCTTTATTTTGCAGAGGCTAGTTTTCCTTTTAGTTCTATTCTTCCATAGGATTTGGTGGAGATTATTTTTTTGTTCATCCAATATGTGACCAGGGGTGTACTGAAGGAGCCCTGACCCCCCCCCCCCCTGAAACCTTCATATTCCTTCCCCCTTCTAGACCCACATACTCTTCTATGAACCTGTGAAACACCTCACTATCTTGCTTAGGAAGAGAAAGAAACCTCTGATGAGAACTAGGTGAAGCAGTCAAAATACCATGTTTGCTATGTACCTTTTCCCCAGAAGTTCCACTAAATAAACCATGGAGTAGGGTATTAAGATTCTCTCCAAATTTAAGAATAGAAGTACTGGTATGTTGATGTTGTGATATTGTATTTCCACTTGCTTACTGCTAGAATTGATACAGCACAACATGACTGGATTAGTGCCTCCAGGTTCAGTCTATCAGCATAGAGGTTTCCTATAGGCCTGCGTTTTAAGGGAGAGTGCCCTGCCAGTAAGGCTGTTCCAGGAAATACATAGACAACCATGTTTTTGTAGATGCCCTGGTTTATGCTGAATTTCCCCAGAATGGCCCATGGGAAAGCACTTTTAACATAATGTAAATACATTCAGATAAAATTAAAGAGTTCTCTCACCATTAGGTTGGCAATGAGGTGCAGGTCTAATGTGAGGATGGTGCTTATGTATTATACAATAGTAGGCATAGTCCCTTTTTTTTCCCTTAAGCCAAGTCTTGCATATATGTTATACATGGTTCTGTTCTCAATCAACTGGAACAACAGTTCAACCATTGTGGTGCTTCAAATACTATGATTCTGAAAGGCCATGATGGAGCAATTAATCAATATTTTATGTAGCTGTCTGACCTCAGTTAGTCATACACTGATGTCACTGAAAGGAAAATGTGGATTGATGGTAAATTATGTGACAGCTGCAGGGTGTGGACAACATTGAAGCTTCTACATATTCCTGTCATAATATTTTAGCCTAAAATGAATATATATTATTTCCTTTTTATATTTCAAATGTGATTAGATGCAAATAAGATGTCTAACTTGTAAGTGGGTTTATAATCAGTGTATATAATCATGCTGAAAACAAGTGGATCCAGTGATATTTCTCCATTTACTCTAATAAACATGAATGCCAAAGTTTTTCAAGATGATGGCACTACATGTCATGTACCTCTTGTGACCAGAGTCTACAAGAGGAATCAAGGTATTTAACTTCTTCCCTCTCTACCCCTAAGCCAAGATATGAATCTGATTGAGCACCTGTGGAAGCATTTGGATCTTCAGTTTAGAACAACACATTCAAGTCCCACCAATATCATGGAATTAGAGGAAACTCTCCTGTGCATATGGGGGGAACCCAGACTAGACTGTGATACAAAACCTCATTGATTTGATGCTAAACAGGGTAGATGCTCTTTGTTCTGGGTGGCTTGACCAAGTACCAAGATAAAGGTTCACATGCTTTGCTTGTCTTCATTTGTCTTTTCCTGCATCAAACTAAAATATTGTAAGAACAACAAGAGGCCAAATTATTATGACAGGGCTTTGTACATATGCCTGGGAGGTGTGAAATACAGATGAGCAGATCCCTCTTGAACAAAACCCTTGATGAATTCTTGAATGGCCTGCTGAAACTACCATGAAGTTTCATGTTGGCTCTATTCAAGCTTCTCAAGCCAGATCAGCCAAGCAGATTCTCAGAGGACACTTGCAGAGAGCATATTAATAGCCAATTTGGTTGTAAACATAACTGCTCTACTTTCAACATTTGAAAAACACAAAATAAGAAAGCAATTCCAGAAAAAAAAAATTATAAGTCAATGTGGAAGCTGATTGAATCTGGTGGGGTGGATATTTCATTTTCAAGGAGACATATGCACTTCATGAAGGAACACCTCACTTCACAAGGGATATAGGAAATTCTCTTCAAATTGGTGATATAAAAAGGGTCCTTTTTTTAATTACTAGAATGAACCTCAATGTAACCAATGCATCCAACCATGTGGAGATTTTAAATCTCACCAATTATACTTGCAAGAACTGAGGAAAAAATGACCACCAGTGGATGCAGTGTATGCTGATAAAAGATACTGGAAAGACTTATGAAATTGCAAAATCAGAGTTGCTCATAGAACCATGTGCAAATACTGGTATGTATAAAAATGAAGGGAGAGAAAGAGAAGGAAGTTCAAAGTAGAGATAAATAAACCTTTACTATGATCTTTTGACAATTGAGCCCTGATGAGCATCACAGGTTCTTGTCACTGGTCTTCACTTCATTTCTATGATAGATGTGTAGCGAGGAATGCATGAATGCGTCTATCACGTTCTGTCTTTTCTGATGGTAAAGTCATATCTTGCTGGCATGCTTTCATCTGTCTCCCCTCCTGTTAATTCAAAACAAGACCACAGCATTTCAATGGCTGAGGATAGGTGGAGGACAAGTGAGGTAGGTGAGTAACAAATACCAAATGAGAGCAACACATTTTTGAAGAAATTGTAATGTTTGGCAGCCATGGCATTTCTGTTATGAAAGGAATCCCAGTTTCACTTAAAATAAAATGATCTCTTGGTGCAATGATTGGCAATACTTTGGAAGATCTCCAACATGAAGATGCTGGTGGGATGATACAAGGGTCATATCAGGTGCTACCTTGACCCTGTCATTCTTCATCTCTGGCTGGGACAGCTTCAAAAGCTCCAAGATGACCTGCTGTTATCCATTGCTTTAGAGAGTTTTGTAGATCTGAATAAAAGGATTTGGTTCTACATTTTTTGTTGGACAAGAGTCTGGTTTTCAACAAAAGCAGTCTATGTAATATGCTAAGCAAATGACTTTCCATCATGTATTTAAGTGGGACAATCACTTCAAGCAGTCTGATTCTTGAAAATTGTAAAAGTAGTAGATATGGCTAACACTGTATTTGAAGGAACAAAGAGATGGTTATGCACTGTTTGAACAATCCTGTTGAATTTTGGAAGCTTTCTATAACTTACATGAAACTTACAATGGCATGTAAACATCTGTGTAACATTTGCTTCAACTTTTCAATTCCCTGGCAATTCTCAGTAGGAAAATCAGTAACATTACTATATTACTTCAAAGATGTTTCATTTTTAGGGTATTTTTTAATAATAATAAAGAGAACATGGACTGCTTTGTATAACTGAACATATCTACAATCACATGCCCATTAACTCCTTGACTAACCATTAAATTTACTTCCCACCATGCATTGCCACATGCTACAGAGTGCCCCATCTACCTGCTAATAGATCATGGCTGCCTGTGTGTGAACACAAGACCTAGCATCAGAATCCTCTAAGAAGGACTCCAAAAACCAGATACTGTGGGACTTTCACACCACTAAAACCCCCCTCACCTTGGCTACTGCTCACCTAGAATGATTGTGCCCATGGGGCCTTGATTCCAGGATCACAGAAAATATTTATTTTATTTTCTTTTTGGCTGCCTACAGCACCACCAGTGGCAGAAAAAAAAGTAGATGTTTCAAAGAACATCTTACAGCAAAGCAAGTGGTGCTATATGTTGTAATTTACTGAAAATGAATGAACAAAGTTCATGATGCATGCTGTGCATCAAAGATAGTCAATGAGTTAAAGGAGGATAAGGACTTCCTTTTTCACACTCTTGAGTTAATTCCTGATTATTAATATTTTATTGTATTTTTATGCCAATGGATTCTATGAAACCTCTTGGCTTTCTCATGCAGACATCAAGCATGTTATCACTCTCTGTGTATAGAAGTCATGTTATTTCTGAGTTCATCCAGAAATAAACATTCCAACATGGATTTCAATATGACAAAATAAAACTCATTCCAATTTTACATACAATGATAAAACCACCTATGCAATCTGCACTAAATCTCATTAAGGTGTTTGCAGTTATTTTTTTTTTGTTCCAAAGGAAGTAAATGCTTGCAGCAAGTTTTGGGTAAGTAGGATGAATATTTCTTGGATATTTGGTTTTGCAACTCTGATTGTCATGGGTAGATAAGTAAGCACTCGATAGGTAGGTGCACATTGAGACTGTAAGGAAGGGAGCCTGACCTTCAAGAATGGATATTGGAGCTGATAGTAGAGGATGGCTGCAAACAAGTGCCAACTGGAGAATTCAGGCCACAAGATTTTTGTGTAGTAGATGCAACTAAATCCACTCTGCAAAAGAGATTAAGTATCAGGCATAAACACCAGCCTGTCACCAACCAAAATATATTGACACATCTGCCAAATATATTATAGAACTCAGCCTAAAATATGATTGATAGAGTATCATAATTATTACTTGTAACAACAATTTTTCATGATAAAATATGACTGATATAAACATTTGCTTACTTCTGTCTGTATAGCATAAGAAGGCATAGTTTTTAATGAAAAAATTTGGCTGCTGTAGTGAGGTAGTGCTTCACAGTCATCCAATGGCAACTACAGCAAAGCTAGCCAGTTTCAACATTATGTGCTAGCTTATTTTACTTATTGAGTTTCATTTAAAGGAAGAAAAGTGAAGTACTCAAAGGATGAGTTCCTATAAGGGGTGTTTCTAGTCCCTTATCCATAACATGCTATTTTGTGACATATAATTGCTCTACTACTAAAAACAAGCAAAGAAGGGTAACCAGGTCAATTATGCAAAGAATGCATCATCCAGCATAGTGTAAATGTAAGTTGTGAGAAGGTTAAGAAAATTCAAAATATTAGGCATGTGATAGTTGAGGGCACTTCTAAGGTTGCTGGTTTCTCTCAAAGGTTGCAGCTACATGCTGCATTTCCCTCTACCAAATACAATTGCAATCAATACACATCAATGAATCCATTTATTTTGCATTGTTTGAACTATTCCACCCTGATTCTGCTAGGTCTTCTGGAGGAAGGATGTAAGTTCTGCCAGTTTATCAGCATCAGTAAACACTCCTATTGCTTGAAACAACAAAAGTTATCATATGGATGTAAACTATAACCTTTGATGGCTCTGAGAGTGAGAAAAAGGTTTATTGAGATTTTTCCAGTTTCAAAGGACTTTTGCTCTCCTTTTCCCAGGTACCATGAGTCATACTTATAAGTCTCAGTATTAATTTCATCAGGTATGAATGCATAGAATCTTAGTGCTGCCCTAATGAGAATGAGGAAAAGAATTGGGGAGCCAATTTGATCTGAGTTACTTTTATTTTCATTGCAGGGACACCAATTGGATGGATGAATGAATGAAAGATTCCTTTCTCAACTTCAAATAGTAGAATATATTCTAATGCAGAATAGGCAATTTTCTTAAAGATGCCAAAGTCTATTCTATCATTAAAAGGGCTTTTGGGATGAGATGTGACAATGAAAAGCCAGTTTCCAGAGAAAGACCTCACTTTACTTTATGCAATAAGTTCAGAGCCATTACAGTTTATACATTTAAAAAAAATGTTTTGTGCTTGATTCATCCATTCAGTCATTATGGCATTCTTCATTTTTTAGAGTTCCAACTGAATAACAAGACATTCCAGATTTCAGAGAAATCAAAGACTGAAGTTACATTGCCATGTAGAGTGATTCAGAAGTCTCAATTATTTTTCTTATACATAAAAACAAGAGTAGCTCTTGATATCTTATCATCATGCAATATTATGCAAACTTTTCAACATTTGTGTTGATAATATGTGCCTTAAAAAAATCCGGATTCTTTCAGGTTAAGATTTCAGAACAAATCAACATCATCTTTCAAGGCATTCAATACCAAAATATTTTCTCTCAATACATTGAGTGAAAATTGATTTTTTCATTCTATCATGTATAATTTTTTCCATACAATCCTTCACCATTGAGCCCATGTGCTTGCAAACATTGTGATTAAGTAAGTTTATTAGCCATTCTTCATATTCAAAGAAGTTAATGTTTTCCCACTTCTGGTGACAGACATTCTGTCCTAATGGTTTGATGCTATTTTTAGAGCTCCAGGGGCCCAAGACCTTGAAACTTGGTATCAACATAAGATCTTGTTCCAGTTCTGCTTCACCCAACTTTCATCTCAGCTCAATTTCTTAGCAATCCACTTTTTCATGAAGAATGTTATGACCTCATCTTTAGAAATTTTTCAAGATGCAGCCATAGCTCGATGTTTGAGACATAATACTTCACTGTCACTAGAACACCTGCCATTTTTTAAATCAATTTGAAAAGATACAAAAAATCTTACATAATACTGTCTCTTCTTACATTTAAAAAGTCTATCCATGGTATGCATGGAAAGCTCCAGCAGGGGGAGCAACTACTATACAACACCCTGTACATAACCAAAGAATACATGATGAGCCATAAAGAACACCCCACACTTCAGAATTCTTTAGTATTTATGAAACAGCAGAGAGCAGAATAAACTTTCTTGTAATTATAAGGGGCAGGTAAATGAAAGTGAGCCAAGCTCTCACATGTACCCAAAGCACCCTGGTTCACTTTCATTTGACAGCCCCTTATACTTTCACCTTTCTTCTAACATCTTAAAATTTTCATCCACTTATCTCCAGCCATTTAAGCCACTAGCAAATTTTATTCCCATGCTTTCAATGCAACACTAGCTGTGTACTAACTGAAGATTTAGAATCCTTTTAAGAGCCTTTTTTTCCCTCAGTAGTTGATAATCCTCCTAATAGATCACACTCTGACCCATCCCAACATCTCTGGCAATTTTCAGCTTGGACTTCAGCATTTCTCAATCATTATTAATTATTGTTAAATAAAACCAGTCATTGTGCATATCAAATCCATCATTCTCAGCTTAATTCCCCACTACATAGCCCTCCAAGTCAACCAATGTTAATGGCATAAAATGTACTGTAATACTCCTGAAATTTGTTTCTGGGTTCATCTGGTCTGGATATTTAAACTTGGAATATATAGGGTGGCCAAAAAGTTACCATACCTCTATCTACCTTTTCATATATTTCGCGAATAGAGATCTAAAAATACCTGTGTGCACATCTCACAAGCCCGCTCAACACAGCGATGAGAAAAGGCACATGCACAACCAGCTAGGCGACTTCTGCAACAGCTCAGCAGAATTCAGTTTTGGTGGTTAACCATGGCGGACACCAGTAGCTACACCATTGAGGAGCGTTTAGTGGTGAGTGTGTGGGTGCATAAAAGACAGCACACTGGACAGGTGATGACCGGGTCCGTGTAGACTTTTGTGGTGAATGTGCAATGAAGGCAGCAACACTGGCACACGTGTCCACTCAGGTTATCAGCTGACCACTGTGCAGGATGTCCTTCACACTGCGAGGGAAAACGCTTGTTTCTTCCATGCTAATAATGTTGCTTTACTAATGTTGGAGGTGGCTTTCCAAATTGTCCCTGGAACGCTGCCATCACTTGGTCCATCACCTGTCTGGTGTGCTGTCTTTCATGCACCCACACACTTGCCACTAAGCGCTCCTGAATGGTGTAGCTACTGGTGTCCACCATGGTTAACCACCAAAACTGAATTCTGCTGAGTTGTTGCAGAAGTCACCTAGCTGGTTGTGTATATGTCATTTCGCACCAGGCCCACGCACCACTGTGTTGAGCAGGCATGGGAGATGTGCACACACGTATTTTTAGATCTCTATTCACAAAATATATGAAAAGGTAAATAGGGGTACGGTGATTCTTTTCGGCCATCCTGTACTTATAACATACCATAAAGAGAAATGGATGAAAAATATGGAACTTAGGTTTCAACAACACTTCCTACAGAAATGCAATGAGCTTTTATTTAGCCAAACAAAAAATTGGACCTGATGAATCCCAAGGGGCAGTTGGATGAAAGACTGCACATTTCATGCTAACTGTAGGCTTCCAATAATTAAAAAATAGACTATTCCAAGAAAAAAAGATCATCCAGATTAATGCTTCAGGTGATAAGAAATCATGGAAAAATAGCTCAAGATTTTAGGAGGGCAGTGTAGTATTTGAATATGCTTCAGAGAGTTGATGAAGTAGGAAAGTTGTAGGTCAGAGAAATCCTCAATCATGGATGGATCAAGATATTTTCAAATGCTGAAGCAGATGCCTTTGGGATACATAATACATGGAGAAGTGTAGAGGAAATATCTACCTGCCAAAGAATGAAATCAGAGAGGCGAACTTCACCCGATGTTCGAATAACAAGGTCACATGGACTTGTATGGCGAGTATCAAGTACAAAATCCAGCAGTTCCTCATGGATGTCAGGAATGTCGAGAAGACCCTGCTGGACACCTTGAGCTAAGTGCTGGATCCCCCGCACTATCTCATCCCGACCTAAACAACCAATCACTCATTAACTTGGTGTGCTGCATGTGTGTTATGATTGACTCAGATTCTGAGGTTGCAACAGAAGTCAATCATGCGGTCCACTCCTTGAAAATCTGCTAGTTCTAGGTAAGAACAAAAAAGTAGCTGTGAGAAGACTCACTTGTGTATGAGAAGGCAACATTGAGCGTGGCATTTTTGTGATCCCTTGTTGACATCTCCAGCTGGGACATGAGAGCACGCAGGGGTTCAGACAGAAGACCTCTATTACCCAGGAACTGGATCCTGACACCATGATCTTTCAACTCGTTGCTAAAAAGCATGTGGATTAAAGTTCTCATTGGAAGAGAAGTAGTGGTTGCAGGGCTAGGGGCAATGCCAAAAAGACTTGCAAGGAACTGAGTTGATGCTAACTGGAAAAGACATGAAATGATAAATTCAACACAAGATGGAAATGTAATCAATAAGAATGACAACAGTTATTTTTAAATATCACAATAATGTCTAACAAAATTGCAGCATAATACTTTTTTCTTAATAAATCCAAACCATGCAAGGGCATTAATTCTGATGCTGTCCTGTAGATGTTCCCTTGATCATTGCCAACCAATCCTGAGCACATGTTCCTGTGGTCCTTTTTTGTGCAATTGCAATGGCTCTTCTACTTGATGAATATCATTACATCTCATTATCCAAATACACTTCCTTCAGGGTAAGTTGAGAGCAAGGTACAGCAATATAAAATAATTTGCTCCAGTACCACAAAAAACAATTTTGGCAATTTATGAGTGTGTGGAATGAGATTAAAATAAGCAAAGAATAACTGTCTAAGAGACACATGTCATGTTTCTGTGTTTTCCATAAGAAATTATTGAGGACATATTGCTCTAGTCCAGAGAGGTTCAAAGTATGCCTTGTGTCAGATTTGTCACTCCACATGTTTTGCATTTGAATAAAGTCGATAATTAAATTAAATTCATGTGGGATTGTAACCTAGCATCCATATCTCATTCACTCAAGTGCATCTCATTTATAAAAACTTCATGAAAACATTTTTTTAGATATCCAACTTGCACCATTCTTTTACTTTCAATGTAGTCCACCACTCTCAAACTTTGGACACCCCTACTAGGCCTATGGCCTTGATTCTTACATGTCCTGATAGGTTTCACAATATCCTATCATGAAGGGGTATCAGGCATTAGGGTCAGTCAGGAAAACCATAGGATTCATCACCTTTCCTTCAGGAGTGTCTCCATCTTCTCCTGAGCCAAGGTCATGAGACCTGATACCTCCTCTTGGGTTCTCTTGAAATTCTCTATACTGAAAGCATAAATGGTCACCTCCTTGATACCCAATTCTCGGCACCACCAAAGAACTTCTGTCAACCGCTTGAAGCTGAGAAGGAAAAAGAAAAAGGTAGCTGTAGGTATTTGGTGAGGTATAGATTTTTTTAAAAGAAAAATGTCATCCTTTTTCTCTGGGATGTTACATCTTACGTGGGCTTTGCTACTGGGATTTCATAATTACTGGAAGATGTTGCATTTAGAATAATTTAACATTTATTTTCTTCATAAATTAAATTACTACAAACGGTCTTGAATCTCATGAATTGCAACCCATCTGACCTTGCCTCTGTTCATCACATCTTTAGTGACTTTTCATCCTGGACATATCAGTAGATATTCTTGGTACTTCTTACTGCATTGGAGTTCAGCTGCAATTTAGTGATGGTATGTGATACCTAATACTTTACTTCAATATGAGACCTTAATTTTTCAGAGTATGCTACAACCACACAGTTTTTAACTTTTCTGACAAAGTAGAAATTGCCTTTTTTAATGCATCCTGGAGGTTTTCACTCTTCTTTCTTCAACCCTTTAGCATTTTCTTTGCAATTAGAAAAACCTAAAGTTTCAAGTAGTCAAGTCAAAGCTGTAGGACAATGCTACAACATCTTGATCATGACTAAAGGCATGAATTGGGGAGTGATGGCTATGCTGCAGGTCAGGGCATTGTTAGGACAAAACAAATTATTTCAAGCCCAGACTTTGTCTAAAATACTGCCAGTCATGAGCACTAACAGTCAGAAGACTCCAGTGCCAAGATGACCTCGCCAAAATTATTCATCACTCTTTCATAAGAGAGTTTGGTTGGAATCATTGGTTTCACTTCAGTTTTCTGTTTATAAACAGATCAAACAAACACAAGAAACTCAGCAGTAATGTCAGAGAAATAGCTGCCCATAATGAAGTGTAGTAAAGATAGAGTCATATGACAGCATCACCCATTCAGACAATTCATCATAGACCTAGAATTATGACATCCTAGGCTTAGGCCAAGGATGTCATAATTTCAAAGTGAAAGCTTAGGTGTCAGTGTTGGTGTAAGCTGAAATATGGGAATGCCATAGGCATCAGAAAGCATCAACTACCAAGCTGGGGATGTGTCCTGAAGTGAGTATTGCCATACTGATCCTAAAACACTGCACTGACCTGTTCTTATGAGGTTGCAAACCAGAGCAATCAAATGAATCAAGCAATCTCAACTGATTGCATGATTTGTTAAAAGATTTAACCTGGCAAACAAACCACTAATCATGAACTTGCCTCAACTTCACCAACGAACAACTTTTGGGATCATTAGTTTTATCATGCTTTGCAAGGCAACAGCAGACTGAGAAGGATATTATCCAAATATTTGCTGATATGTATAAGTGATGGTCTTTGATGGAGCCTAGAAGAGTAAAAAAAAATATAATCAAGGAAAAATATGCTGAGATGCTTCTAGCATAAGGCAAGAAACATCATCTTTTCTTTTATTCCTCCATCTGCCTGTGCTGGCTTCTGATCCCTCCCTCCATGAATGCCACAGCATTCATATATAGACTTTAGATCTTCACATATAGACTTTAAATCATAAGGCTTGATATTCTTGTTGGAGGAAATTTCCATTATTTTTTCCAAAACAATCTCAGCAATTAATGATGATATATTTTGCTGTTGTATCAATGCTTCAGATCCATGCATAGATGTTACCAAACTGCCAATGAAATAACAATCCGAACATTCAAACTCACAGGCAAATAACATGATGCCCAATGTTCACTGGATTGGCCTGTGTTTAGATGGTGTGTACAAGTACACTGCATTGACATTGTTGAAACTGGCAATCATCACACATTTCAAATTCAGGCATTGGAAGAGCATAATATTGGATTGCAAATATTTACTAAAATCTCCAATCTCTGACCGATGCTGACACATACAATTACATCTCTAAAATAAAATAAATTTGAGCCTATTCATATTTAGAGTAGGACCATGGCTAACCATGCACTCTTGCATCAAGGCTCCTCCCTTGGATCTTATATGAGAGCATCTATAAGCCATTGGAGAGACACCAAATTTCTATCAATCAAAAAAGCCAAGAAACTTAGACAAAGAAAGAGGAAAACATGACACATTTAGTTTATACCATTTATTTAAGCAAATTTAAAGGTTGCTGATTCTCATTTCATCCCTCCAATTCTTCTAAGGTCAACTCCTATGAATTTACTTGGATGCCAGAATGAAAGTACTCACCCTTCAGAATGACCTTCGATGCACCTAAGGTGATGCTTGCTGGCATATCGCCTGTTGCCATCCATGATTATAGCAATATGGCGAGGAACTGGTCCCTTTTTTAAGATCTTCACTACAAATGATTCCAGATAGGAAGCTGTCCTGTTCTGAAACCACTCTGATGCTTCTTCCTTCATTTTACCCTTAAAAGCCTGGGAATGCAGCATTTCCTTGACATGAAACTTTCTGTGAACAGAAAATAGAATCATATTGTCTTTTTACCTATCATAAGAAAAATCACCTGTAAGTTTTAAGGCCATGGTGGTGATAAGAATCATAATTCTAGTATCAGCAACTAGGAGGAATATAGATTTTGTTATACATTTTTTGCATTGGGTGCACTGCAGGCAATTATAAATTTTCCCTTCTTAGCTGAATCTTTCCTTGAAAAAAAAAATGAATTGGGAATGCATCACACTATATAGACCTATACTGCCTTGCCAATGGGTTGTGTTCAATCAATACACACCTATCGTACAGGATATTCCATTTCTAGCTTTGGAGTATTTTAGGTTGATATGCAGCAAAGGATGATATGATGGGGATGGCCATTAGGATAGGCTCAGCCAGTTCAATTGTCTAGGGTGAATTTATGTTAAAAAGGAAGCATCAAATTCAATTGAAAAACACTATAAAAGAAAGAGCTACTCACCACAGGTGAAGCATATATTCCACCATGCTGCAATGAACCAAAGTCAATTGAGTATCGTCTATAGGAGAGAAAAGTCACTGAAAAAATTGATCAAAATCAACTTTCACCAGTCTTTATAAGGTGAACTGGTCTGCTCAACTTCAATACCAAGAGGGATGAAGCTTGGATACAAATTGCACTATTGCTGAAGAAGACTAAAGAGGAATTCCAGGGAATTGGATAGTTAGGGGAGAGAAATGAGGACATGGGGAGAAGCAGGTATGAATATCTGGCCAGCATACACATCTCCCAGTCTCACATGGCAAGCCAGAGTAGCTTAGGGCAGTGTTTCTCAAAGTGTGCCGCCAGAAAGGCTTAGGTGTGCCGTGAGATTTGAGAGTTGACTAAAAATCTAAAAAACTAAAACATCTTAAAAACAAGAGGGAATGCCATCTCAGTGGAAAATGAGCTGGGAGTTGCACTATCATGCCATACATCAAACTGCTGCATTCGGCAAAGCAAGCACAAGTTTCCCATTGAAAGTAAGTAAACAGCTGGGTGTGCTGCGGAAAGTTCAAGTGTCCTATGTGCTGCAAATAAAAAAAAGATTGGGAACCACTGCCCTAGAGGTTCATGAGATGAAAAAATATAGACTTTTCTGGGTGTGAAAATATATAATGTTCACTGCACATCCAAATGCCTAGAGCTTGTGTGTCAAGGATAACATGATAGTCAGCTTTGTTGTACTGGATTGCCTACATTGGCCTAACTGTGCATTCTCACTCTTTCCATCCATCATCATTGTTATGATTTAAGATACATATAATGCACTACACTGTTCTATACTTCTCTGCACCATCTTTACCTATTCCCTCACTTTCATTCCTGGCGCAAACATATTTCACTTTTCAACTTATAGCGTGTGCTATCATCAGGACTAAAACAATGCAGTTTATCTACTTTATGCAAATACTGTATGTCTTGACTTACTTCGCCCTGAATTAACAGTGATTTGATTTTAATATTCGTTATGCAACGCTGTCAAGACACCACGTTTCCTGGAGACCAGCTTCTGCAGCTACATCCTTGGAATACTTAAAGTTTGCATATGAATGGACCTCGATCTGGCTTTCACGACACTTTTTGCGAAACGGCGAAGAATTGCATGAATTCACAGGATGTGGTGCAATCCTTGTAATCCTAAGCATTGGCCTAGTGCACTGCACAGAACCGCGTGACCAAAGGAGACCGCCATGAACGATGCTAGTGCCCATGGAAAATATATACTGAGCCCAGCGGCATGCCTCACCACTTTTTCCATCCACACTACGTTTGTGTCTGAGCCTTGTACTACAGTGGCGCAAACAACCCTAAAGTTTAGGAGGGGGGGGGGGGGGTTTCGAAGTTTTCATGACCTGTCTTGCAAATTATCGATATGCCAGTGGTAGACGTCAACAATCGATCGGGCCTCTAATGAACGACAGGGGGGCGTCGATTGCAAGTGATGAAGATATGGCTGGGATACTTAACGAGTTCTTCGCTTCCGTTTTCACTGTGGAATCCGATGAAGCACCTACTTTAGAGGAGGTGACCTCGGCACGCATTGCGGATATTTCCATCACCGAGGAGACGATCATGAGTATGATAGGGAAGTTAAAGGCGGGCAAGGCGACCGGCGCTGACGGGATTCCTGCTCGAGTAATCAAGGAACTTACGAGAGAAATATCGGTTCCGCTGAGAATCATATTTGGAAGCTTTTCGCGCGGCGAAGTACTTAAGGACTGGAAGCTAGCGAACGTCGTACCCAGTGGCGGCTCGTCAGGGTAGGCAGGGTAGGCAGTGCCTACCCAGTTTACAATCAAGAGTTCTCAAATTAATATTTGATAATTAATTATTCGATTAACACAGCTAGAAATATTTTTCTCATTGCGAGGTAAAAGCAAATCGAGATTATGCATCCAGAGTAGGCACGGCGCTGCCTGCCTACGCTGGCTAGGCTCAAATTCCCTCGAGCCCAATGCAAGAACGAGAAGAGGGAGAAATGGAAGAGAACCACAACACTGGAATGAGTGAGGGTAGGCTTGCCTACGGTGCGCAGTTACTCCTTGCGCAGGAAGGAAGGTTGAGAATCGCTTGCTCACGTCCTCTGCTCAGAAGCACGTGCTTGTAGAAGCCTCTGTGGTTGTTACACCTGATCAGACCTATTCTACAGTATTATGCAGACTGAATAAGGAATCATTTCGAACAGGCTTCTGTCAGTCTCAGTTCCCTATTCCTACCCCGCATTCATAGCTCTCTTTGGAAGAGGCACTGTTTCTAAGTGATATGTTTTGTTAGACTGGCAGTGCTTCGCATCCCTGGGGTGTCTTCCAATGATATAGTTGCATTCATTGAAGGTTTAAATCTTCGTCACGTTTCCTTTTAGATGCAAGTAATTTCCTTGATGGCTAGTTCTGATTATGCTAGAATTGTATTTACAATTTTTGAATGCAAAAATCCTAAACTTATGTCAAGCCTATAGTCAAGGGGTGAGGGTCACCCTCAGAAGACCCTCAGTGACCCTCAGAAGAGACTGGAGAGTGGTGGGTGGGGGAGCAGTGGCGGATACCAGGGGGGGGGGGGCGACAGCCCCCCTATGGCCAGGCTTGCATTTGATTTATTTATTCAAAATAGCATCTGCATTAAATTTATTGGAGCCAGTGAATTAGATACTCAAGTTCTTACCCCAGACGAAAAATAAAAAGGAGAAAGGACAAGGAATGGTGGCAGGCTGGGGGGGGGGGGGGTTAGGTAGGAACTTGGGAACCGCCCCCCTATGAAAAATTTCTGTATCCCCCCCCTGTGGAGGAGGGGATGCTCAGCGAGGTTGAGAGAGGAGCGAATGTGCCTGCTACTATCATAAGAGGACGCTTGATTGGTCAATATGGATAGAAATGGGGATCATATGGGTGCAAAGGAATCATTTGGGGGTGACCCCCCCCCTTCTTTTTTTTTTTTTTTGCACCACTGCTGCCTACCCAATTTTTTTAACCACGAGCCGCCGCTGGTCGTACCGATCTTTAAGATGGGTGAAAAGAGTAATTGGGGAATTATAGGCCGGTAAGTCTCACGAGTATCCCAGGGAAGATCATGGTGAGCATCCTAAGACAGGGCCGCCCAGAGGTTTCCAGGGGCCCGGGGCAAAACTAAACCGGAGATCCCTGGGGGCCCTCTTGAGGCTCTCTTGAAGCCCCCCCTCTGGGCGGCCCTGTCCTAAGGGACCACATTTCGGATTTCCTCGAAGGAAACGTGCTCATCCGGGACTCTCAGCACAGCTTTAAGGAGGCGTCGTAATTGTCTCACCAACCTGCTAGAATACGATTGGGCGACGGAAGAGAGGGATAAGGGGAATCCCGTGGACATCGCCTATTTAGATTTCGCGAAAGCTTTCGATACCGTTCCTCACAAGAGGTTGCGGGTTAACCCTTTCGTGCATGAATTATGATCAGATATGAATTCAGGTCTGTTGATTTTTTTTTCTTGGTACTGTTTGATGAATTAAGCACCCTTTTGTTCGTGAACATAATTTTAAAATTTTTTCCGAAATCACAGAACCAAAAACGATTTCGTCCATTATAGTGGACACCATGCACTTTCGCTTTTGATGACATATACAGAGCTTTCGGAAAGCTCAATTACAGGTCCGCAATTTTTTCGCAGTTTCACGTTATAACTCATTTGCAAGACTTGCAAATGAGTAACAGTTTCCAAACATAGTATGGACATTTTCCATGCAAATGAATCTATTTGCACGCGTTTGTATTTTATTTCCTCTTTGCATGACACGTCGTGCGATGCCACGATGTGGCATCCATGACTTCCTCAGGAGTCCTAACTACGGCTCTGCACTTCAGTTTGGGAAATGAACTTGATTTTGTCCCAAGTGGAGATGCATGCCGATGTGCCACGCCCATTCTCCTCATGTCTCAGGAAGGTAAAACTTGACTGCAGTCGATTGGCAAGGATGGTGCCGGTTGCGAGCTCTTCTAGCCGTGGTAGGGAAATGACTTAGTGATTGAAAGATTTTTTTTTTCTTGGAAAAAAAAGGTTATTGTCTCTTATATCATCGGTGAGGTGCAGGACCACGTCAACCCACATCCCAAAATCTGATATAGGGTCACGCCCTCCGAGATCGCCTTGGCATAACTCAATTCTGGATAGGTAACCTGAGCTACACGCCTAGACCTACTTTTGTTGAGGAACATCGCCATCGTCCAAACCCAAAATTTCCTTGCGTGTATCGACATCACTCTGGTCTGACTCTGAGGTCACCGTTCTTAGCCAATGGCGTCAACTCTCTCCCTATTCAGAGTCGTGAGGAAAATCGTCAAGAGCTTCAATTGTTTTCCAAAGTAACGAACAGAGAGGGCAGGGAAATTGCACATCATAGAACCTTAGAAGTTACAAATGCATAGTGTCCAATGGAGTGGATGTTAACATATTCATTTTTACATTGGCAATAATATGCTGGAAACATGCGACTAATTGAAACATCGCTTTACTTAACATTTCTTAACTGAAAAATAATGCATTACTGCCTTCAAATCACACGAACAATTGTTATTGAATTTTTCTTCTGAACTGCCATTCCTTTCCTTCAATGCGGCGCTATTGTGGGAGTAAAGCGTCACATATTCTTCTTTCCACCAGCTATTTTCCACAACATGCATTAAGTATCAGTAGCACCCAATGAACATCTGTGCCCTGAAGTTGAAATCATGCACTAGAGTCATAAAAGTGGAGCCACCTCTGGGCCCATATGTAGTTAACGTCGCGTCCACTACAGTGGACTCTATGCGTGAAAGGGTTAAACTGGAGGCGCACGGGATCCAGGGTAGGACGAGCGAGTGGATCAGGAACTGGTTGACAGGAAGAGAGCAACGAGAAATGGTAAATGGGAAAGCGTCGACGGAGGTCGGTGTGGCAAGCGGGGTCCCTCAGGGCTCGGTCCTGGGACCACTTCTGTTTCTGGTCTACATAAACGATTTGGATCTAGGCGTAGAGGGTATGATAATTAAATTTGCCGACGACACCAAAATAGGGTTTTCTGTAAGGGGGGAGGCGGTTAGGGCTGGAGCATGGGCGTCCGCTCCAATATTTTTCTTCAGTTGAGACAGGCAGTAGCCGGAGGTGGTACTCTTCACCCTTCAGCAAGCCGTCCCCACACGGATGGAGAATTGTCCTCTGTAAGTCGTGGGAAGTCGAGCCGTGGGCAGGACAATTTTTGAGCTAGGGAGATTAACCCTTTGAGGACCATGAACGTACAGGTACTTCCATACTCCCGAAGGGTTTAAAAAAAACTCGGTCCTCAAAGGGTGAAGATGCTCCCTAGGGTGTACAGATATTCACGCGACATTGAGACGATTTCACTAAGCCAGCGGGTTTACCGAAATTCTGT